AAAACAAACTACCCATCTTTCATTCGTCCCCTCTGACTCGGAATTGACGTTTCGAAAAATTCATTCGAGGGTCCTTTGAGATTTTTTCAGTTCATATATTCGTGTATTTCCTGGTTTGAATGTTTTTTTATTTATCATTTCCACTTTTGTTGGAATAAAACAAATTGTCTGTTGAGATTTTTGAATTTAATATACTCGTGTATTTCCGGGTTTTTATTCGAGAGGTGAATTCGGGGAAATTGGCGCTGAGAAATTTCGGAGTGGTAATTAGGACCAGCGCTCGCAATTCAGGGGGCGAGAGTTGTCGAATGGGACAAAGTGTAACGATTACTTAAATATGAGCATGCGAAACCTCAAAACACATGTTTCTCCTCGTCTCCGGCAACACACACTTCCTGTCGTTAAAGAGACGGTTTAGCTCGTGATCTTAATGCGTGTATTTACTCTTCATTTCCGTTTTTTATTTGCCTCAGATGCGCATTATAATCCTTCCCTCACGTGACAGAATAAAAAATACCCAATTTGTATTTCATTCGCTGTTTGGAAGGGGCCCATTAAATTTTCGCCATTCATTTAAGAAAAAAAGCAATTTATTCAAACAGCGAAATATATCAAATTCCCGGGATAAAGTAAAATTGAATTGTCCAAAGGGCAAGAGGCACTCGTCGACATTAAATTGGATAAATAGTCACGCGAGTGAGTCAAATGTCGGGCATTCAAATGCTCGTGGTAAAATGGTCTTCAACTCGAGAATCTCTAAATAGCCTCGAATAAAGGGACACTTTGATTTTTATTATTTTCTGGAGGTGGGCAGCGCGAAGTTACAGTCACCCGTGGAATTTACTCTAGTACCCCCGGCACTACTTGAGGTGATGCCTCTCGTTTATGTGAGCAAATGGCCGCTCATTCGGAAAACAAAAATGAGAGCTCAAGAGATGGTAAAGAAATTGGCCAATTAAGGTGAATCGATTGGAGTTTTAGCATTGCACGACAGCTCCGGTATTTTTATTCAGCGCATTTAATCCGGTGAGTGGCATCCGCGGGGATCTAAACATGTGATAAATTGTCGGCGTGACGCGGACGCGTGTGAGTCGTGCGCGAGACAACGAGGAAAAAGCTGGAACAGTGGATTATTATTTTTTAAATGTTCAAAATGATGAAACAATTTTGATAACAATTCTCGCATTTTTAATGCGAAATAAATAATGAGTTGAAAGCAATTTGCTGTACCCTGTAAATATGCAAAATCCGATTCTCTGGAAATGTAAAACGGAAGTGGGCACATTAAATTTAAAAGAAATGAACAGGGGAGTTGGTTTTTTAAGACCGGAAGTGTCGGGCGTGTCTCAGTCGTTCACGAAAACAAATGAACCATTTGGACAAACCGCAATGCAACCGAGAGCAACTTACGTCTCTAACGAGTCAATAATCCACAAGTATGTGTGGGTTAGTTTGAAGAACTGTGGATTGGGGGGTGGAGGCGAGGGAGGGACGCGTCAAAGGCGCCTCGCTGGGCCACTTAACTAGCCACGCATGGCGCGCACGTGTTGAGGTGTCGAGAGTCAAAACTCCCTGGCTTCACATACTGAAACTGTATATGAAGGAACTCGAGACATTTCACGCCGATGGGATAGCTAAATATTTGTAGGTTTCAATCTAATTGACCAAGACGGGGGCAAAACATTTCCGGTGTGTACGACAAAAATAATGCAATCGGGTCAATTAATTACGGATTTTTCAGACTACGGGTTTATATCAGTGGCCTTTGAGCCCTCACATGTGACGCACTGGTCCCTCCACTCATCCGGAAAATCCGATTACGTTTCACGAGATCAAATGTAAATTTAATTAACCGAAAACAGAGTCTAAACTATTAGGGATTATTCTCATTTTGCTGTTGGTGCGGGATTATTTCATAATCTGGAGATGGAAAAAATACATATATTGTATTCAAGACAACATGGACAAGACGCCTGCGCATTGTGGAAAAAATTGATGGCAAAGGTGCATAACACAGGGCTCTGTCACTTGTGTTGGTGGAAAAAAGGGCGTGCGCACCAGAGGTTTTGCACAGTAAGCCCAAAGGGAGTGAGAGAGATGAGCAAGGAACAAGAGGGAAGAGAACGCCAGGAGAGATTACCATCTTCCATTCGTTCGTTCCAATTATTTTGTCCAATTAAAATATCGATTTTCTTCCCCGGCGCGTATTCCCTCTCCCAGCCTCCCACTCTTTTTATTTATTTTTTATTTCATTTGACTCTCTCCTGGGCACTTTTTTTTACCCGTTTATTTTCACTGTTTATTCTCTCGATGCATGCCTCACTCGGGCGATATTCAATTACTGGTTGGGACGCATGGAAAAGATTGAGGTATAGCTCTGGGAAAATCGGGAAACGAATGTCTGCATGCACAACGTTTCACACGAATCCCATATAAACAGCGGAATCCTGAAACAAACGAGCCGTCCCTACTCTCCTTTTATTATTTTTTCCTTTTATCTTGACATTTGTTATTCACCCTCGAAGTGTGACGAACATGAACTCGATTACACTTTTTTCTTTCTCTCCTCAGGTTTGAACTTGCCGGCAGTGTTGTCCTAGAATAGACCATCTAATTCCGTGGTCGAGCGCGACGCGCCGAGACGACGCATCGGGGAAGAGAGAGGAGCCGCGGCGGGTGAGTTTATCTCCTTCCCTTGAGTAACTTGTGGTGGTAGGGAGATTTAAGAAATGCCTGGACCACCGTGATTGCAATTTTAACGGCAATTTGACTTGAATTTCGCCACACCGAAAGAAATATACGATTTTCATGCTCAATATAGCGGACCACTAATAATTAACAGCATGTATAGTGCAAGAGCATTGGGATGAGTCGGTATATTTGGTGGTGGGGATGCTAAAGGGTGTCTCACATGGATGGCATTTCAAAGGCAAGATTAAGTGGCTTTTAAAAACGTGCTACTGCCACATTTACCCTCGATCAATCTCTGTCAATTTAGGGGCCATAAAGAGATTATGATTTTTACCGATTAATTTATGGGGATTTTAATTAATTGTCGATTTTCGTTGCTTGGATTAATGGGGATTGATAATTCTTTTCAATTTTTTAACCCTTGGTCTTATCATTGAGAATTCGTCAAGCAAGTGACAGTATGTACGCGCTCGGGAACGAGTGGGTTTTCTGACGTCGAGAAAGAGCGAACTAGCGGGTGGTCCTCATTATGTCGGACTCCCCACCGGCGTTGCCGTCCTATCTATTTAACGTATCGTTTGCCTTGGTAACCATCCAAATTGGACCATCCCTCTGTCTATATCCCCAGTGGCAAGAGTTAAAATTTTTTTTTTTTACCGGAGCTTGTGCATTTTATAATAATGGAGACTAATCATTGCTATTCGCTTGCTTTTCGCAGTCATCTATTCCCAAAATGGCGAAGATTAATAGATAAAAATTTTATATTGTTCATTATCGAGATGATTTGGGGTATTGCGCAAATTTTTTATGACCGGAAAATTTTGCCGAGTCCATTTTCGAGCGAAAATGAAAGACAACATTTTTATCGCCCTCTGCTATCAGAGGGACTCATTTGTTTTTGCTTATCGCCCCCAGTTGTTTGCGACCCGCACAATCGAGGCAATCGTAAATATGACGAACGATACGTCGGATATAAATACAAAACGTAGATGAAAACGCGATTTTTTTTATTCGGATAACGGAAGGGGTCGGATGTAAAAAAAAAAACGAGCACCAGAATATCTGAGGATTCTGGGAATTCGGAGAGCCGAATGTTGAATAATTCTCAAATGAATAGCGTACGCTGATTAAAATTTGATGATAATGATCCTGACAACACTACGAGGGACATGACCTCTCGACCCACTTTCCGCTGTTCGTTAATCGGCGAATCAAATAGTTGTTTTGATTCAATAAAACTGTAATTAAAAATGTTAATTTGTATTCCTGCTATAAAACGATACGTTTGCATTTCCGATTCTCATTGTAATGCTGATCTTTGACATTGTTTAGGTATTGGGTTACGTTGTACTGAACGTTTACGTTTGTATGCAAACGACATCGTTGACTCTGACCTTGTCTGGAAAAAAGGATGAGAAAGAAATTTTAAACGAATTTCTGTTCCTAAAAATTACCCTTGGATTTCACTGCATTAGTCCCAAGAGATCAAATGGAGATACGATTTTTAGTAGCCAATAAATTCTTCTATTCGCATCTTTAAAACTCAAGTGATGCATTTCACTCTACTTTTCTTACTAAAAATATTCAAAAAAAAATTTAATTTGCAATGTTCGATGACTTTGAAATATCAATTAGTTACAAAAATACCGAGTAGCAAAGCCCCAGATCTGTCCTTCACACCTTATCACCACAAATATCTAAAGAAATGGGGAAATGTACAAAGTATCCGCCCCTCTGAATGACGAAATAACCATTTCATTAGAGTTAAATCAAGCATGAAGTCTCGCGATTGTACAAATATAGAAAATTTTCCACGATCACAATTTTTTTCTCCCCTCTCAAGTCGGTATGGGTATATACAATCGTCGAGTCTAATTGGTCAATTACGCTCATTAACGTCTCCGATGTAGGATGGCGAGTCCCGATTAGATCTCACTCTTCGCCCCTACGGCGCTACTGTCTCTCCTCCCTTCGCGATTCCTCCTCTCTTTTGCCTCCCCCCCCACCCCACCTAGTGTATTTGCATGAGATTCAAAAGTCGTCCCGTGCAGTGAAAAATATTCACTGCACGTTCTCTCAATTGCATGCTCTGTCTCTATTCAACACACAAGTCGGGTTCTGAGGGGCGTATACGAGGGAAAAACACACCCCCGGATGGTTGGCAACTCGTAACCGCCCCCTTATCCATATACTAGACGTATTCATCGTGTTTTACCCCCACTACACTACCCGGTTATGTTGTGTGGAAGGAAAAAGTTGTCGGTCGAGTCCCTGCTGTTGGATCCTCGGTCAGTCCACTCGGAGAGCTCGCTAGGCAAAGAGGTCTCAGTTTAAATCGTCATCCAAACACTTTCCAAACATCATCACCCAACAATTCTCATTATTCTTATCACTCATTCCACTTAATTCCCATTGAATTTTATCGCCGACAAATACAAACACTAATCATCAGTTAATGACCATAAGTCAATTTGTGAATGATAATGAAAATTTAGTGACAAGTAATTACCCGAATGATAAAGTGCTGTGGAATTTGGGGGCTTAATGAGAAGTGAATAATCGAACAGTTGAGGGTTTTGTAACAAGACTGAGTGTCAACGTTCTACGAGGATGACAGTGTTAAGGATGACGAGCTCTCCTGTGACACCTCCGTCAACGAGTCCTGCATCACCAGAACAGGCGCAAGCACCTGTTCCAACATCTCGACCAAATCAACAGCGATTGAGTTTCTCAGTGGCAGCACTGCTGGCTGACACCAAGAAACCGAAGACAGAAGTGTCAAATGCATCAACAGTGTATCCATCTCCAAGCTCATCACCAGTCACCAGTGCATATTCACCAGTTGCCAGTCGTCAATACAGGAATCAGAGTCCTGATGCCTCGGAGAATGTCAGTTACACGTTATCACAGTCACCTACGAGAGTCTGTGACACAAGAACTGCCAGTTCACCCCCAAAGTTCACGGAGACGAGTCATTCGATATCTAGTATGCTGACATCGTCACCAAATCCATCAACGAATCTGCAGGACTATGGCTCACATTCGCCGAGAAGTTCGCACGATGGTGCAAGATCAAGATGTTCTGAATTGGATATGGAGGATGATGAGGAAGGAAGTCTTGTTGACGTTGAAGACTTGGAGCAGCAGGGAACAACAAGTAGTCCAAATCCAGTGAGACCAATGCCAGCTTATGTCGGTGGTTTCTCGACGTTAGGCTCGTTAGCTGGACTCCCTGGGGGATTTCATCCAGCATCGGTATGGGGTGGTAGTGTCCAGCACAGATCAGCCGTTGCTATTGCAGCAGCAGCTGCTGCTGCCAGCTATTTTCCATCACACTTTGCTCATCATGCACCACTAAACGGTAAGTATCCATTAAAATATCTACCCTCATTACTGATATCATCACCGATTTTGTTAATGTTATTGCTGGCACTTGGAATCAGTGGGTGGGTGGGAGGGGTGAAGGGGAAATGTTTATCGATTTGTTGTGGTTCAGGTGGGAGCACCCGTCGGCCGTCGCTTAAAAATTCTCAATGGCATCGCCTACCCTTCCTGGCTCGCCTCAACACCAATAATTCTGTGTTATGGGATACTTTCTCAGGAAATATAGCCCTTAAACCGCGTATATAACACTTCAAAGTTTGAACAGTCGTTTATTTGAACAGTCGAGGCTACTCGAGGATGAAGTGCCTTCCTCTTGTGTTGAAGGGGTTGATTTTTTATTCTTTTTCCTACAAATAGAATTCTTCGGAGTTGTACAAAGTAGCCAAAGTAGATAAGATAGCTCGTCGTAAAATGTAGAATAATGGTGGATGCAAAATTCAAGACTGGTAGCTGTTTCGGGGAATGACAATCTGGTTAGAATCAGCTAATTATTTTGAATGGGCCTTCCAAATGGCTTTGGTTGAGGTAAATAAAGGCTTTTGGAATGGTGGATTAAAATCCGTCGGGTGAGTCGTTTTTGGCCGATCGCCCAAGGAGCAACCCAGACCGAATGCCAAAGACTGGCCCGGAGACTAATTGGACCCTTAGCAAAAGTCCAGTGGAGAGGGAAGAAAAGGAATGATTCTACAAAGGCGAATTGCCCCGTGCCTTCTCGGCTTGGATCCTCATGTATTTCGTATCGGTTATATATACGGCTGACAAACATCAGGGAACTTGAATTTGAAATTCAAAAACAACGAGAAATGGCCTTTTGTCCTTCGCCTTGGAGATGGTGGAAAGGATTCATCGAGAATGTCTAACTGGCTCCCTACAAATCTGTCAATTGTTTTCGGGGGACAAATCTCAATGGGCTTTTGAATATCACCAGAGGGATATCCCGGGCCTCATTGGTTTGTCGTTCATTTGAATTTGCGGTTGTTGGGACAAGAGCGTTTGACTAAATCAACTGATGTTTCAAGCATAAATCATAGCAAGTTGAATTTATTCACACACGATGTTGAGGAGATGAGAGTAAAGAGACTGAGGATGAGATGGAAAAAAGGAGCAAGAACAGATGGAAAAAAAAGGAGAAATGAAAAGAGTGCATATACAACTGGGGACTTTATTCACGATGCAACGCACCGTTTACCGCGTATATCGTTATATTCATTTAATGACCCCTCGTTGGGTTGTTTTCATCTTTCCCTTTGCTTCAAAGGTTATGAATAAAAAGGAGAAAATAAAAAGGAGAGTATGGTTCAATAAAAAAGCGAGACACGTCCGCGTTTCACTGGGCTCACTGCCTTGAGAGACGTGTCGAGGGGATTTCAGCCTCGGCCGGAATCTGTGGTTTCGTCTTGTTCTTCTGACGCAAAAAATTAATAGGGTGCTCCCATCTGACTATATGCTAGCCCGGAAAATTATGAATTGTCTCGGTGAATTAAGGATAGGATGAAAAAACAAATAACATGGTATCGAGTCAATTGGCACGGCAGCAAGACACTCATGATGTATTTTTGTTTTGCAGAGAACGGTGAGCCAGCCAAAATCAAGTGCAATCTCAGGAAGCACAAGCCCAACAGAAAGCCAAGAACACCTTTTACAACGCAACAGCTTGTGGCTTTGGAGAAGAAATTCAGGGAGAGGCAGTATCTCAGTGTTGCTGAGCGTGCTGAATTCTCGTCGTCGTTACATCTCACTGAGACACAGGTAAATATTCACACTAATCCCACGCATATTGGCTGCAATTATTCAATTGAGAGGGGGGAAATTGATTGAATGACTAATTGCTATTCCAGGTAAAGATATGGTTTCAAAATCGCAGAGCCAAGGCGAAGCGCCTGCAAGAGGCAGAAATTGAGAAATTAAGAATGTCAGCGGTTAGACAGCATCACAATTCACTTTATGGAGCTCATCATGGTCTGCTCGGGCCAGCAGCGCTGTATCCCGTCGGTATGCTGTCTCATTCAGCTGGCATGGCCCCACATCATTCAGTGCAATCTCATCAAGGGAGAGAATGAAAATGTCATTTGATTAGTTCACTTGATCTCCTTCAGCAAAGAGGCGTCATCAGCTGTTAGTACATTAGCAAAAACTTGAGGAATTTATGATTCGTCATTTATTCTTTACTTTTCTTTCATTCCAATTGAGATTGAGAAGGACAAGACAGCAGCACTGATACAGTGAGGGGTATGATGTCTCTTGAATGACGTGAATTAAGAGATGAAATTGGATCCGGTGTATGGTGATAAGTGCTGGATAATCGACGGTTCTGAAGAGTCATTATTTTTGTACATATTTCGATGTAAATAACATAAAATGAGAGGAGATTATCGATTCTGTCAAGCAGTTTGTAAATATGTGAGGCTCCAGCCTGGAGATTGCCAAAATCAATTGAAAAGAAAATTTGTCAAACATCACACTTTCCTGCCCTGTTTATTTTATAAATGCCCTTTTAATATGATTCATTTTGTATAATATGTACAAGTCGTTAGCACGTAAAATCGAGAAATAACCTATTTAAATAAAATCCTAAGTGTCTGAAGATAAATGTCAAAGCAATTTATTAAGTTCCTTTCAACAACTCATCACACATTATTTCCCAAATTAACGGTATCAAATATATGTTTGATGATTTACTAATCCTCGGACATTTGGCTCTCTAATATACATTTGTAAATGACTGAGGGGAATGGACAGGATGGGGAAAATAGAGGTAGACATTTAGCCAAGGATTATTCCGGCAACTCAAAAAGATTTTGCTGTACGATTAGTTAGTAGTTAGGAGAATGGGGATCACTGTGCGTTACATGTCGCAGCATAAATTAGCCGTGGCAATTAGTTTCGGAATCGACCAGTGCCGGGCGGTTTGGCGCCACCATCTTGATTATATACCCTTATATTGCCCGACGTTTTGAGGAGAAGAAAAAAAGACAACTTCAGCAACAGTAGCAAGCACTGTTTTGCCGAAAGGCCAGAGTCTTTTGCGAGGAGGGCTAATTAGCGATGCCCACCGACGATATCATCCGACTCACGCTAATAATACGAAACATAAATATTCGAAATTTTTTTCCAACCTCCGATGCCAATACCCACACCAACGAAACGCTTGTTGCCTCCTCGTTTTACTATATATGCCTTTCTCTTTATCAACTCTTGGCTTTTTTTTTCGCTTCCCCACGGATTTTTTTCTCTTATTTTCTTTTGCTATGAGGCTTTGCCGCGCGCGTTTGAATTTTAATCACTGGCTTATTGGTCGACGACATAACTGTCCCGTCCGAGCCAGAATGCGGCATCACTGGACTCGCTCGTTAGTCCAAACGATTCCTCGAGGCAATTAACGCCCCCATAAATTTCCACGAACGATATAATTTGCGTATTGTGCAAGGTAAACTGAGGATTTTTCGACGCGATGGTGATGCAATCGCTCTCGTGTAAATTTTCGTGATCATTATCGTCTCTTTTTTTTTTCTCCACTTTTATTTCACTTATGACGACATAACCGGGGAGACGTCTCCTCCTTAATTAATTAATCACGCAGCAATTAAGGAAGATTAGTGGGTGTTAATGCATTTCAGTTTGTCTTTTTAATTTGTCTTATCGGCTTAGGGTCAGACATCGAGACTTTTATTAATTTTTATTTCACTTTGATAACTCGGCGTATCCTATTTTAAAGTTAATCGTCATTGTTTGTGCAATTTTGACAAATAATACGTCATAGTCTTTTTATTAATTCACTGGGGGAAAATATATTTACGAACTGTTGGAGAAGCCAGTCTCTTGGTCAGGCTCAATATACAACTGCGGGCTCGAAAAGGAGCTAATTACGTACTGATTATCATCTTGTTCCTCAACTCTGCGTCACTCTCGCCTTTTTTACAGCAGATTATAGATATATATCCTGTTTTGTTCCGAGATATGCTGAAAAGCCGACCTAAAAATAGACGATGCAGGGTAAAGCAAACAGAAAATGTTAGTGCAAATGCATGAGATGATTAACCAAGCGAATATTATAAATAACCGGTCATAAATAATCAGCGGATAATTATTCGATATCACGATGATTACAAATTGGTCATGCATTAGGCTAATCTGTTTGAATCTGACTGTGTCTCTCTGTTTCCCATCCAACAACGAAACATTTTATTTTCTTATTTCAACGGTCATCAGAATTGATATATCCTCATTATCATGCCGCAACTCGTTAGCGAATCGGCATTCAATTAAAGTCTCATTTAAATAATTGGCTGTGCCGAATGACGAACGATTGGAATTCACAATGTCTGGTTTATTTTTACAAGAAACGAGCTTCTGGAATTTGAATTCTTTCTTTCTTACTTTTTTCACGGTCTTCCCATTTTTTTTTCTCTCGGAAGGAGAACTTTCGCGAGGTTTTCGGGTGGATGGTGCGCCCGCCAGATTGAAAATATTGTCTCTGATGATTTTGGTGTATTATCGGACCTACCCATTTATCCCCCGGGCGGTTAAAACACTGACTAAATAGTTGTTTATGTTGTGCTAAGTGAGCGCAAAGTGGTAGCCCGTGTTATGGTCCGTAGGTGGTCCCCTACATATGCAAGTGAGAATAAAGAAAATATGAAAAAAGAGAAGTCCTGAGGTTCACATGATACACGCACATTACAACCGCAACGAAAACTCAAGCCACCACTTTATGGGGATTTTTTTATTCTTGGCTTTCCGTAATAAAAATATCGTATTTTTCAGGATACTATAAATGTACCTGTTAAAATGACACCAAAGAACATTCAAGGAAACGTTTTTATTAATTTCAGTATAAATCACGGGGGATGAGAAGCATTTTTTTTTTTGAAATTCAGAATTCCCGAAAATAGCTCCCTCATTCAGCCTTTGAGAATGGGCCGAGGACCCATTGAGTGACTCCACTCAATGAAGAATGGAAAATCTCCAGAACATGAAGGGATTCGTTTCTTTGTCAATGGCTGAGTCGATTCATTCACGTGTACCAATAAAATCATTTTCGTCCCCGAAAAAGGCTCGAGGGCTTTCTTATTTTGAGGAATCACTGTATCATGTCTCTATTCCGCTGGAAAATCAAGATATTAACTTCTCCTTTTCACTTCTCCCATATGAAATTTCCCCAGAATATAAATCAATATTCATTTTTGACGCCTCCATTCACTCCATCCGATGGCTTTTTTACGTGTGAGAAGTTTTTTTTTTATTCACTCTAATGCGAATTAGCCGGGCGTAGCAAGAAGCAGGCGGAGCAGAAATCTCGACACCGCATTTGGCCTCCATGATAATTAACGTTATTATACCGTTTAATTGCTCAACGTCGGCAATCCGCCGGGTTTCCCTCCCCCCTCCACCCACTTGAATGACGCGCGCGCCACATCCGCCATCTTGTTTTTGCCAAGCCCGTGGTCGAGGGTAAAATGGTGGGCAACTTAAATTTCCAAGGATCGTTGTCGTTAGTGAAAAGAGGGCAGACTACGAGGGTGGATAGGAAATTGCGCAACAAACTGCGCAGAATCTGTTGGGGATATGTAGAAGGCTGATGGCTGTGTAAGGGGGATATGATGGTGACTCGTTGGGGTGTATCGAAATTCGAGGGCGGAGTACTGGGGGATTGTGCAGATATATAACGGGTGAGCATTCGCGCTCTGGTTAACGCTCGTCGGAGCCAAACGATTATCCAACTGCTGGGTGGATGGGAGAGCTTGTGGAGAGAAGGCGAGACGCTGTGATAACAAGCTGATGCTCACTCAAGTATCGAAATTCCGTTTAGTCTGCAAATTGAGGAACATTATGTCGAGGAAAGTACTACTTTGCGTCCGCTAATTTACGTCGTGATTGCGCATAAATTGAAACATTTTAACGAAAGAGACTTGAGAATTAGATTTGTTGAACTACGCTTTTTAAAATTAAAAATTAAAATTTCTTAGACAGTTGAGAGTGACATTGAATTGAATTTAGAAGAAAAAGTTATGAAATTTAAGATTTTGGGAATTCCATCCACGAAATTTCAGTAGAGTATGTTTTTTTCTCATCGAGTTTGGCGATAAATTTCATTTCCGATATGTTTGATACAATTTATAATCCACAATTTATGCATACGAATAAACTGAGTGTATTGGCATTTCATGGAAGTTACGAAGGTAACGAGGCGAAGAAACCAGATACCTTGAACACGAGTTCGTGCCAGGGTAAAATCCCGGCGCACTCAGCGGCGAGTACACGTTTTCTCTCCTATCTAGTGCGTGTGTTGGGTGGGCCCTTCGCAAATGCACAACCCCCCAACTCTTTGCCCGCAAGTATACATCTTTGTCTTTTGAGATATAACCATACACTTTAGCATTATAAGAGTCCTCTTTTGCTTTATACTTGTCGGCATATATCGATGCACACGTAACGGGTGCAAGGCGTGCTTCATAACTCGCGAATATTGTATTGGAGGGACTCCTCTACCTCGCGGAGAGGATAAGAGAGAGGGCCCGAGAGGTGCACGAATGAAGTTGTCGTTGTTTCACCGTCGGATAGAGACAGAACGCCCATGAGACAATGCAGTGAATAAATATCTCGGAAGAGGCCAACAAAAACAATGAGAGTAACACAACCAAATATGATATTATTATCGTTCTATGCTGTGCGCACAGTGAGACCGCGATTTTGCCGTGAAACTCTCGACATTCCCGACATTCCCAAAATTTATAAAATATCAAAGACAAGCCACTTCAATTTTTACTCCTTCCCCCTTCACTTCTTCGCGCGAAAATAATTCGAGTCAATCTCGTGGAAACAGCGAATAGACCCTGGTCATTTGTCATCGAGATTTTGTTAGTTTATCGGCACGCGACGTCCGCCGTAATCGCATATATGATCTTGTTATATACACGTATGTACTCAGCCACTTTATAAAGCCAGGGGGGGAGCCAAAATGAATACAGAGGAGTAGCTGATGTTTTTATCAGATAAAAACGATCTGAAATAATCGAACAATGAGGCGCTAACTCGATAACGCGAACCTCGTTATCGTACGTCGAGATAAGAAGTCTCCTTTTCTCTCCCCCCCGTCGGTTATTCTACGATCCTCTCACCCCTCCTCTCATATTACATTAGTCCCCATAGAATAATGTATCTGCTTACAAGGCGTTCGCCCCCACGTGACTCGACCCCAGCAGCCTATACACCAAAAGCCTCCAACAACGAGAGATCCCTACCCAGGAATGACTATATTCACATGGTAATGCGTGTTGCGATATCTCCGGGCATTTACGAGGGTCCAAGTATTATTAATAATTTTTTTTCAGCCACACCCTCGTCCCATTAACCCCACACCGTTGCTCGTAATAGTCCCCCAGTGGGTGTTTTTAATTATTTTTTACATTCCCAAATCATTAAATTCTTCAATTCGCCTCCCTGACTCACTCGTGTAATTGTCGTTGACTCGGTGCAAACACCTGAATATTTTCACATGACGTGCGTAAAATTCATGCGAAGGTACGGCCAATGCACATACGTATAAACAACAGTTTGGAATATGGTGAGGTGTTA